TTTGCCCTTTTCCCTCTTTCGTAGATGCTCACAAGATGAACATTTCCAACAAGTGTTTGGTTTAGGAGTCCATTTGAAGGGGGAAAAGAAAAGAAATTGTACTCTAGCCATTTGACTTTAATACAATTCTGAATCCTCGTATGCTTAGTTACGCAATCATCTTTGCCCAATCAGTGTGTTGAAACTTACACCTCTGGACAACACCTACTGCTAACCTAAAGAGTTATCTAATTTATCTCCACACACAAAAAGGAAGAGCCTTCCCTTGTTTACGTTGCTGAATGCGCCATTTATTTGCCTGTTGTTTGCAACTATTGGAAAAAATAGATCTTTCTTCTGATAAGTGTGCTTATTTTATTGTGTGCTTTGCTATTCCAGTTAACAGAGATGACCATCCGCGCGAAAGAAATGTGTTATCACAGAGTCAAGATCAACAAGATACTGTCCAGAGTCACGGGGAAACCTGAACAGCAGGTAGGCATTAATTCTTCTTTCCAAAATATTTGAAACCTGTAAAAGTGTACTAAAATTTTGAAAAATGCGTTAAAAACCCAATAAAAACTTGAAAGTCCTTAAAAATCTTTTAAAAGAATTTTCCTTAAATCCCTTTAAAATTTGAAAAAAAAAATCATAATATACTAAAATAACTAACGTCCAAAATTGTATCCCATGAAATCCGAAGACAAAAGGAAAAGAAAAAGTTCCTCGTCTTAGCGGTGGTATGACACAAGTATTTTTGTTATTAGTTTCTGTAACCACTCATTCCTTCTTTTCATGTAGGAACGGTATATTAATTAACTACTATATTGTTATTTGTTCTTAATAATCTATTGTGTTTGGTTCATTATTTTGGAACCTTGTCCACAGATCGAATTAGACACCGATTGTGATAATTTTATGGATGCTTGGGAGGCAAAGGCATACGGGCTGGTGGATGAGATCATCGATGATGGCAAGCCCGGATTAGTTGCTCCCATTGGAGACCTGTCACCTCCACCAAAATCCCTCTTGTTGCCTCTATGGAAATTAGAACTCAGTAAAGAGAGCAAGAAGAATTTACCATCCGAAGAAAAACTTCTACAAAACGGTCTCGTGGGCGAAAGCATAGGCACTGAAGAAGAAGAAGAAGAAGACGAAGAGGAAGAAGACCAGTGAAAAAGAATTTCCTAATTTTCAGTAGTTCAAATAATGTATTTGTATTTACCTTCTTACTAATTGCTAAAGTCAAAGTTTATATTATTCTAAATTCAGAAATTTCTTAAATTCCTAATTCTCAGTTTGCATAATAATATAATATGATTTTATCTAATTATTTATTTAAATATTTATATTTTGTTATTTTGAAACATTAATATGAGGAATTGGTGCCTAAGTGATCTGGGGTGATTTTAAAATATATCATTTTTCAGTATTTTATATGTAACTAGTAAGAATCCCGTGCGATGCACGGGAGTATTTATTACCCATTTATTTTTTAAAAGGTATTTTTGTATTTAAATTGTTTCATGCCATTAAAAATTTCATGAAAATGAAATTTATATGTTATTAAATATTTCTTTATGTACAACATTATTGATTTGATTCTTTGACACGTAAAGTACTACATAGGTGTTCGAATTTATCTAAAATTGCATATTATTAGTTATTAGTTAACAAATTTTAAAAAAATTAATGGATCTTATTTATTAAACAAAATTAAAGTAGAAAAAAAAAAGTAGAATTTTTTTAGAGATTTTCACCCGTTATTTATTTTAAATCTAATTCTAAATTTCAATTAAGAAAAATTGAAAAGAATCATTAGTTACTCTTGGAAATGAAACCGATTTTCCTACCAATAAACCGATTTTTTTATCAAACAGATTAGTCCGAATTTTTTTTAAAACCAAATAAAAAAATCATCAATTTTTCCTAAAAATGCAACCGAATTTTCCTAACATTGCACCAATTTTTGTACCAAACAAATTGAATTGAAAATAATTCTAATAAAAAATTGAAATAAATTATTAATGTTTATGAAACTATTTCTTTCCTAAAGAAAATGATATGAACTTAACAAAAAAAATGATATGAACTTACCAAAATCTCGGTAAAACATGGTTAAGAAAAAACATAAGAATCCAAAAAAATCGAGGTATTTAAATTTTAAAAAGTTGCACACAATTTTTCCTATATAATTGGATAAGGTGACTTTAAATATCAATGATGAACTGCTTTTGTTACCAAAAAATGTGGACACAATTTTGAATGTATATCCCGTCCAAATATCAGTTTTATTTTAAAATAAAAATTGCATGTGGCTTTATCCAATTTACACAATTTTTTTAAAAGAAAAAATTATTCAATAAAATTGGAAGAATTGATTAAGAATTATACAACTATTTGCTTTCTAAATTTGTATCCAGTTTGCACGGTTTTTAAATTAATTTGTATTTAGAATTGTTTTCTTTGCATAAGAATCTCCAAATTTGTTAACAAAAAAATATGATTTAAATTTTGGTAAAAAATAAAATATGATACGAAAAAAATGGGATTCAAAATTTTCCATAAAAATCTCCAAATTTGTTACAAAAAAAAAAAAAAATAGGATTTAGATTTTGTTACTAAAGATTCACATGTGTTTTCTTGAACTTTCTATTAATAGTAAGTCAAACATTATATTTATTTGGTCAAACTTTCTAATAATGTATTTTTTCAACAACCTCTTTATATATATAGATATAGATTATATATTTTTAAAAATAATTATAAATTATTCCTTATAGTTCTTCATTTCTATTTGATATTTGTATTTTCATTTTCTTTATATATACATATATTTTTATACTATTCTTTCTAGCACTTTTTGCTGTGAATACTGACTTATATTTAGTATTTACAGATCATATATTTTACTTTTATATCATTCTAAGTGGAGTACTATCCAAAATGCAAATTTATTAGGCAATTGGGTTTTGAATGGAAGAATACAAAAATGCTGGTATTTGTAAAATTTGCAAATAATATTAATAGTAATAATAATATAATAATAATGTAAAGAAAAATAAAGAAATATTTAAATGGTTTAATATCTAAAAGGTATGCCAAAATTCAAAATAAAACTAACATGCGGTTTTTCCAACCATTTGCATATATTTACAACTTATTAATAAATTTTTTTAAACCCTATTTATTGATCTCTGTTCATAATTCTACAATAGATGTCATTTATTGTATATCTTAGGTTATTGTACAAAATAAATTCAACACATTTGTTTTTGGTATATTATTATATATTATAGCTTTATACTTAATATCATGCTTATCATAATTAATCCAATCAAGTGACTTTTTTCCAACATTTTCATACAAGATTATTACTAATTTACTAGTACTTGATCCTTATGCGCATACACATATGCAAATAAAATTTATAAAATGTGTGCATATATAAGTTTTAAAATCATAAGTCAGTTAATGAGCATATCACACTTTATAAATTTTATGATTAGTAAAAACGAGCAATATAAATATAAACTATTTAACTTACATATGATTCATTATATATATTGCTGAATGTAATCTTTGAAACTTGAGTGATTATCACCAAATAAATTCTTTCATCCATTGTTTTGAAACTCGGAATTGTCCAGCAGGTTGATTCGAGACTTGTTAGGGTGGGTTGTTCGGATTGGATTGTAAGGAGCCCGGTCAACGCTGGCCTTGACCGGGCCGACCAAGATATTGACCTAGCGAGATCAACTGTCATTATTTTTTTTTAATTTTTTTTAAAATAAAATTAAGTATATATATATATTTATGTGGTAAATAATCGTGATAAAATATAGTATCATTAAGACTTTGGGGTATATAATTTAAATATAAGTAATTTATTTTTATTATCTTATGTATATTTATCAGATTAAAATAATAGAAATATAATTTAAAATTTTATAAAACTAATTACCTGATTTAACAATTGACCGAATGACCCGACAATTGGATCGGTGACTCGAGTCCAACCCTGGTCAGTTCGTATTTTAAAATTATGCTTTTATCCACATGATTNTTATGAAAACAAAAAAAAAAAAGAAAAAAAAAATACTTGAACAAGATATGAATGTAAATTGTGCTTGAACTGTACGTATTCATTTATATCCAACCCGGGTCAATAACCTGTTCGGTTTTAAAACTATGCTTTTATCCACAAAAGATTATGAAAAAAAATTACTTAAACAAGATATGAATGTACGTATTCAATAACATGATTTATTACAATCTTGCAAAATCTCACTGTACGTATTCATCTAAATCTACTTTCTTCTACTTTTAACTAAAAGGGGTTAGAAAAAAAGACAAGTAGACAACTTTTGGTCTACATTTCCAACCTTCGGAGGTGTCAAACCGGAATTAATGCTTTTCCAGCGATGATATTACCAAACATCTTATAATATAAATATCCACCATCATCATTATTCGTCATCATCGCATTTTGATCAATACGCATGTTTATAAATATCTAAGCACAAAGTGGGGTACCTTAATCCACCGGAAATTTGGGATTTTTTTTTTCAGCTGGGAGCCTGGGACCTGACATTGATCGAGGACCTTGACTAATTGCTGCGTCTTTTAACAAGGTATGGATTTTTCTTACCTAATGGGTTTTGTATTTTCACTTCGAGAATCCATTTTTAAATCTGATGGATTTTTTAGCAAATGGGGAGTTGTATTTTCACTTCAAGACTCCATTTTTTAATCTGAATTCATACACAAGGTATGAACTTTTAGCAAATGGGTTTTGTATATTCTCTATAAAGACTCCATCTTTAATCTGAATTTTTGCTTTAAGTTGTAGATCGGCTGTTATAGTAAAAAATCTCGGGCTAGGAATGTAATGAAGTCCTGATTTTTGGTCTTCAGGGGTTGGATACATAGGAGCAAGGTTTATCTGGGAAGATCAGATCTGTTTGGTTTTTGGTTTGTCTTGAAAAGGGATAGAAAGTATAATGTCTTTTATTGGGACACAGCAGAAATGCAAGGCCTGCGAGAAGACTGTTTATCCGGTTGAGCTGTTGTCTGCTGATGGGATTAGTTATCACAAGTCTTGCTTCAAATGCTCTCATTGCAAAGGGACTCTCAAGGTTAAAAGCATCCATCTATAGCTGATTATTGATTCACTTGATTATTTTACAAGCATCGTCTAATGTGATGTTGTGTTTAGCAATCATGGCCATTTTTGCTTGATGGTAGAATATTTTCTCATTCGCTAGCTCTAACTGTGCTCTGGGTTTTACATTTCCTGCATCAAGATCGTTTTTTTAGATACCCGCAACACTTATTGGCTCGTGATGTCTTATTTATGAGTTCTGTAAGTGGCTAAGGTATTTGAGGATATGCTTCAATTCTACTCATGGAATTGAATGTGTTCAGAGGTAATCTAGATACAGTTACTACCTACAGCTTTCCCAGTAGCTGGAATTATCTTCATAATTATGCTTGTTATGTGTTTTTCTGATGGGGAGCTTGATTTTCTGCAAGGTTTGTCTTTTCTACTTGGTTACCTGTTTGGTCTTAATTTGAGGCTAGACATAATTTATATTGCTTGATGCTTTAATATGACCTCTTGATAATGGACACATCTGATGCCCAATTTTTTTTATGTTTAAGATGCTTGTTTGCCGTTGTTTACAGACATGATTTCTTAGTGTTTGATTATTACATATAACTGAGCTTTCGAAAAGTTTTGTTTTACTTGAATATGTAAAATAATTATATATCTGGTGACAAGTTGTAATATGACCAAGTTTTTTCATATTTCTATTTTCCTTCATGAAATGTCAAAACTTATGCTTAAAAATGTTTCCAACTATAACAATAGATGACCTTTTTGGACATGGGGGAGCACTTCTAATCAATTACAACCCAAGAATCATGAATACTTTCCACCACATATCTTAACAAGCTGATAAATCATTATATAATTTGCATGTGCATACACAACTAGTGTTCACTTTGTGTTCGTATTGGCCATATTTATGTATTTGTATTTTGTCCCCTGAATCACATATTCACTATGTCTTCATCTGTATAAAAATCCAAAGAAATTACTACTCAACTATATTGGGAGAACATTTTAATCATCAAGTAGTAAAATAAGGGTAATCTTGATAGGAGTTGGGAAAATTATAAAACCAGCACCAATTGCTTTCCCATGAAATCATAAATTGTGACTGTTCAAAAGGAAGGTGATGATGAAAGTTATTTTGAGCAATGACGTGTGGCAGATCTGAGTTTACAACAGAAATCTCACATAGTTTTGCATATCTATACCTATATAATGGACCGATCCATTTTGTTAAAATTAGTGTACATTTTCCTGCCTAAAATTTTGAACCAAATTTAGAAATATTATTGAACATCGTTTAAAAATCAATTTTAAAAGTTTGTTTTGTAAAAAATGATTTATAATTTATAATTTCCTATAAATTTATGAATTTTGATATGAATAATAGAAAATTAAATTATATTTGAACAATTCTATATTTAATAATGCATTAATTTAACAATATCAAATGATGAGATTAATTTATCATGTAGAGTATGTGATTCATCGAATGAATACTTAATTAAGAGGTATCAAATTAGCCAAATTATACTATTATCCGAAAAAAAACAAATGTTTGATCTAAGAAATAAAGTAAATATATATATATATATATATATATATATGTGTGTGTGTGTGTGTGTGTGTGTGTGTGTGTTTCCATTCAATAAATCATTTGTATACATAAAAATATTGATACATGGATAAAATGTACATAATTTATAATTATTATTAATATGGTGGTGGTCAGGTGAAATAAAAAAAAAATTAATATATTCCACATAAAATAGATGTATGTCCATTAAGAACAATGTGAGAAAACTAAAATTCTAATTATATATTCATTAAGTATAAATGAGTAAATGAAGTAACCTATACTCGAATATCATAATTAAAAATTATGACATTTGGTACTCATTGAAATAATAAATATAAAATATATGAATTGTGGATTGTTAAATGATTAACAATATTAACATAATAAATACTTACTTTTATATACACAAATATAAATACACATGTATTATTTAAAATTATATGCATTCACAACATTTTATAAGCTTATGAAAAATAAAATTCATATATATTAAATTGTCAATTGTATGTTCTTCTGAATCATAAAAAAAAAAAAAGATTAAAAGATAAATAAAATAATAAAAAATATAAACATTACTACTTATAGTACTGGTTATAATAATTAATGCAGATATAGACGTACCTTTATAGGTTCTGATCCATGCTTATAATTTTTGTGCTCCAGCTGAGCAGCTACTCTTCAATGGAGGGTGTGTTGTACTGCAAGCCTCACTATGAGCAGCTTTTCAAGGAGACTGGCAGTTTCAGCAAGAATTTTCAGTCCCGTACGCCTTATCTGTTATACGCATTTCATATAATATTATTTTCTCCAATTTTGGCATTGAAATTCTTTTCACTTGTCTGATTGGTGCCAATGGGGATTTTCTGCAGCTGCAAAGTCAGCTGAGAAGTCAACTCCAGAGTTGGTAAAAACTCCCCACAGTTTCATGGTCTTTAATATAGTCCATAAGGTGCCATTTAAATTCTAATTGTTCTTTTTATGTTAAATGTCAGACAAGATCACCTAGCAAAGCTGCTAGTATGTTTTCCGGGACTCAGGACAAATGTGCCACGTGTGGTAAAACAGCTTACCCACTGGAGAAGGTACTTTTAAGAAATAACATCACCTAAAGTGACATCTCTACTGCTTTCGGTTCTTCTAATGATGTATTCGAAGTTATTGCATCATTAAAAAAGATAGGTTATGTTTGGTAACCAAATAAGCTAGCTTATATCTTATTTAATCAGCTTATAAGCTTCATGTATTCAAATAAGATTCGTCTGGTAGGACGAGCATTCTGAAAAAAGTCTCATAAGTTTCTTTGGGTAGCTTTTCAAATAAGCTCGCTAAAATTTTTATTTCAGCTAGCCCTATTAGCTAATTTTACCAAAAACTTTTTATCATATAAGTTAGTTTTTTAGCCATAAGTCATAAGCTACAAGCTATAAGCTCGAAAATCACTTATCAGCTATCAGCTAGCTTATCACAGCTGGTTTTACCAAACATAGCATTAATCTTTGACGTGACATGAAAATTTAGTTCCTCATTTACTGTTTTGTTTTCGGATGATTTTCCAGGTGACAGTGGAAAGCCAAAGTTACCACAAGTCTTGTTTCAAGTGTTCTCATGGCGGATGTTCACTGACCCCATCAAATTATGCTGCCTTAGACGGCATCTTGTACTGCAAACCTCATTTTTCGCAACTGTTTAAGGAAAAAGGAAGCTACAATCATTTGATCAAGTCTGCATCCATGAAACGCCCAACGGCAGCAGCAGTTCCTGATTCTTGAGTGCAAGCAAAAATCTACTTAAACCGACTGCATTATCTATTTCGCATGAGCTTGAAATTCGTGGGCGTTACTTTTTTTTTTCTTTTTTTTTTTTTAAATTGAGAGACCAATTTTTTTCCAAACAAGAATAAACTGCAAGGACAATATTTTCTAGGTGTAGCCATTGGAGATCATCCAAGTG